ATCCTGGATCCACCCCTGTGGTTCCCACTCCTTGATACAAATCTAAGTGGACTCTGACGTTTAAATTGTGCAGCTTTTCCTGATTAAAAGTTACAATGTGATTTTTTTTTGTTGTTTCTGCTAATTCTCCTGTGATTCTCTCAATGTTGGAATGCTACTTCCTGTCCTATTGTTTTCTGTCCTTTAAACCTTCCACCCTCTTACTACCTCTTTCTTTGTTGGACTACAGTGACTTCCCTTTTCCAAATATTTATTGTTTTATTTAATGAAACATTTCACAGTGACTTGGTAGTGTTGTGTTACTTACTTCTGATCATTCATTATACCAGCCCATTCTGCTAATAATTACATTGATTGTTCAATTTAAAATCCAAAGTATGCTTTAATAATTATTTTACTTAATATTAAATTACTTAAGGGCAGGTATAATCATGATTTGCAGCAAAAGTAAAAAGTCACCTGTAGACAGTCAACCATTCAATGTAAATGTCTACAGGTTTTTATCTGCAATAAATAGAAGATGTAGCATTTTATTACAAACCATACAATCATATTTGTCTTATTTCAGCAACAACGGCGAAAAGGGACAAATATTTCAGTCTTGTACACCAGTTAGAGATGATCCTCAGTTTTGCATCCAGTTGGCCAACAAACCTCTCTGTCAATCAGATGCACAGGGCAGCCATTGTCNGTTGTTTCTGCTAATTCTCCTGTGATTCTCTCAATGTTGGAATGCTACTTCCTGTCCTATTGTTTTCTGTCCTTTAAACCTTCCACCCTCTTACTACCTCTTTCTTTGTTTGACTACAGTGACTTCCCTTTTCCAAATATTTATTGTTTTATTTAATGAAACATTTCACATTGACTTGGTAGTGCTGTGTTACTTACATCTGATCACGAATTATCCCAGCTCATTCTGCTAATAATTATAGTGATTGTTCAATTTAAAATCCAAAGTATACTTTTAATAATTATTTTATTTGATATTAAAATACTTAAGGGCAGGTATAATTATGGTTTACAGAAAAAATAAAAACTCACCTGTAGACAGTCAACTATTCTATGTAAATGTCTACAGGTTTTTACCTGCAATAAATTGAAGATGTAGCATTTATCACAAACCATACAATCATATTTGTCTTGAACAGCAACAATGGTGAAAAAGGACAAATATTTCAGTCTTGTACATCAGTTAGAGATGACCCTCAGTTTTGCATCCAGTTGGCCAACAAACCTCTTTGTCAATCAGATGCGCAGGGTAGCCATTGTCGGAACAGATCTTGTTCTGTTGAGGAACTGTTACTCCAAGGATCCTTATTAGCACCAGGAATGGAAATACCTCCAAACCAGGCCAAGCAAGTGGTTGTTATATTCAATGCAAAGTATGATGCTGTGACAATACTTTAGGTTAAACTTTTTGGATAGTGTACTAAAGGCATCTGCAGTCCAGCGTCAATCAGTACCCTCGATCAACTCTCAATCGCTATCTTGATCGACACTTGATCCACATAATAATCTTGACTGACACTTGATCAACACTCGATCAATAGGCAGCCATGTCGACCAACTCATATGATTCTCGACCAACTGTCAACTGTTATGTCAATTAAGTGTCAACAGAGGCATCAGTGGAGTGTTGACTGAGTATCAATTGAGTGTTGATCCAGGGTCGTTCGAGGATATCGATTGAGGGTATTGATCGATACATAACCTCGGACGCCTTTAGTGCATGTAAACATTATCCAAATTTTTCATCAAATTGATAAAAATAAAATAATTTAATGTGTTCATAAAATGTTCAGCCAGTGCTGCGTATTATCTGTGATGAACTTAAAATGGCACAGTCAATTGTTTATTGCAGTCTTTCAAAGATTTTGAAATTTAACGAATAATTATTCTCATTAATATCAATAATGTTTAAAAAAAGTGAGGAAAAAACTAGGTATTAATTATCTCTCATAATTTTGCCCAAATCTACTGTACAATGTTATTTTTTTGGAATTATGAAATACTAAAATGTTATTAATTTACTAATACTGCTACCATAAATACTAGCTTCTGATTGGTTGGAATCTAATCAAATTATCCCAAATTGTATCAATAGCTGAGCAATTGAATTTTAATTGTATTGGTTGCATTTGAGCAATGAAGTCGGGTAAAACTTTCAGGTTGCCATTTCAGACAAAAAAAAAGCTGCGTATGAAGAAGCAGCAGTAAACAAAAACAGCATGAAATGGAGCGTACTTGGAGTGGGCTAATGAGAAGAGAAAACCGAAAGGCATTGAAAATATCTCGCTAGAAGATCTCAACTAAATTCTTTGAGATTTCTACACCAACCTAGAGGGAAAAAAAGACGGCAGCAACCTCAAGCCAGAGTCCCTGGGAGTTATGCAATCATCCCTAGACCACTCCTACCGGAACAAAGGTTACAAAGTTTTAATTATTCGGGGACTGAGGAAATTTGTAGAGTCTAACTAAATTTTAAAGGGGAAAGCCTTTACCCTTCAGCACGAAGACAATGAAACAAGTCCATACTCAACAGATGTACTTACCTGGGAAGAAGAAGAAATGCTCTGGAAAGAGGGCCGACTAGTCAACTGAAGAAAACTTCAATTGGTAATTGGTGACCCAACATTTTGGTTTAAGAGGAAGGCAAGAAAACTCTGACTTGTGCGTTGCACTCTTCAAGTTTGCAAAGGACGAAAATGGTCACATGTTTGTCACTTTTGCTGACTCAAACCCCATGAAGACAAGAAAATCTCTCATGAAGCTTTAATGAATTTTTTGTAATAGTGTGCAATAGTGAAATATGTCTGTAAATAGTGTCAATTAATAAAAAATCTGAAAAAATCTGAAATCAATGAACGATGGTAATTCCAAGAATGGTGGCTACTAGCGGAGAGAGGTTTCCAGTTTGAGGAATATATCAGCTACCAACCAAGCAAAGCAATGAAGGTCCATGGCATGAAAATCTTTGGAAGAACTTACAAAGTTCGTTGACAAACGTTTAACTAGTCTTCCCATTTCAACTTCACTTGTCTTTCCACGCTTTAGCTCTGTTTTCCCAAATGGATTCGTCCTTGTACCTCTAGCTCTATGACAAAGTTAAAATCAATGCTGTAAACTTTTCATAAAACGTTCTCATGCGAAATGTTTGTCAGTAAAATAACACTTTTACCATTTTGATGTGCATTTCCTTGAAATCCTTTAGATCATTCATCAAATAGTCGCCGAATGCGTTCAGAGTTTTGGCAGCTTTAAAGCCGATAAAATTGAACTTAATGTTACAAACTTGGGACTTGCTCGTCTTTGTGGCTCGTTTCCATAAAAAAAAA